AGGAGCTTGACGAATCAGTCTATAGAGATGGCATTAATAGACTGGAACACCGCTATGAGAAATGTATCAGCCTTGGAGGAGATTATGTTGAGAAATAAAAAAAAAAAATTTTTAAAAACCTTGTTTTTCTTGGTCAGGCCGGAAACTTATCAATCCACCCTCGTAGTAGAGAAATACTGATAATTTTAGAGGTTTGTAATGTGATATCGTAAATACACAAATTTTTTTGCGCTTACATTGCAAACGCTGGCTGAACTCTACGAGATAGATCAAAATAATATACTACATTATTGTACATCTTAAAAAGGTCTACAAAAAAGTCAGAGATGGTATATGTCTATCTCTTAGGGATAACCCACAATAACCATGTTTTATCCTTTACTTTTTACAATAAATAATAGTTTGTACTACAGATGGCGTTTACCGCGCCATTTGTGGTATTTTATAATAATGGCTCTTTTATAAAGCGATATTAAGCAATACAGCATTAATCATTATTCAATTACGTACTTTTAAATACACTGTGCATTTAATATAGATTAATATCGCCCTTTACAGCATGTAATTTAAATGAATATTTTCGAAGATATTACAGACTTAAAATGCAGGGACATAGCGGTTGCGGCCGGTTTGTATTGTCTAATGACCAAAAAGCTGTGATTGTTGTCTATAAAGACATTCTATAGTATATTGCATTGCACCCGTGCGAAGCATACTGTACAAATAATACCATTAAACTAATTCCTTAACCCCTATCCCAGTAGTGTGTTGTATAATTACACGTTGTATTTTTTTTTTGTTATCAATCAATGAAAGATCTATTTCACTTGGTTTTAGACGTAATTTAACAACAATTCCACCCAAAATTTTCGGCTAATTCGCAGATATCATTCATCTACATACCTTTCTCAAGATTTTTAGGCAGGTACTGGGTAACATTTACTTTTCGTTTGATATATTTTTGAGCTAATTAGACTAACATATAAGCCCATCGACACTTACACTGTAAAGGAATGAACATGAGAAGGAAAAAGATTCCAATGACAGCTGAAATTCCAACCAATTGGTACATGAAGTACGTAACTATAATAGTCTCCAATGGTCCAACCCATAATTGATGGGCAAAAATAACAGCCACATCGAATCTGTTAACATCATTGGACAAAAGGTTGACCACTTGACCGACTGTAGTTTGACCTAATGCCGTTTTACTAAGTCTCAGAGCTTTTCTATATATTAATGAGCAAGAAGCCACTCGCATCTTCATCCCCAGATGCAGCATACCCTGCATATAAGGGTGAGTAACAAGAACGTTTATAAGGGAACATAAAACCACAGCAGCGGCATACCAGTAAGCTTCAGCTTGTGTTATCTCTTTTTGACCGGGTTTGTAGAAATAAATTAATTGACCCAATGCTAATGGTTGACCTATTCTAAAAATCAATAATTGATTAAGCTAATCGACGTTGTTACACAAACAATTAAAGCAGAAATTTTTAATAAAAATGATCAAGATCATTACTAGGCTCATTTAAATCAAAAAGGGAAGAAAAAACATATAAACATGCAGTATTCAAACACATTAATATTGTTTTTTTTTTCTCAAATACTTTGTATCACTTCAAAAGAATAAATGATTAAAATAATTTGAGCGACTCTAATTCCAATGGGAATCGCGAAAACCCTGTTTAGAACTATCATGGGATACTTAATTATACAATGCATACAATTTGTTGGTAAAATAAATACGAATGTAATTTTGAAACTTTTCAAGACACGTTTTGACCGGCCTAGTTATGCCGAAAGCTACATAATCACCTTACGGACAAAAGGTCAATTTTTGTAAGTGAGAACCCTTATGTCTTGTCCCATTTTTGGGGTATAGTGATGTGCCACATAAAGGAAGGGGCTGTAGAAAAAATATTTATAAAAATAATGTTCTTTTGACACATGTGAGTCGCTAAGAAGACTGGGATTTGGAAGGTAGAGGTAAGAAGCAACTTTCGCATACGGGGGAATGTTGAAATAGTGTCCAGCTATAAGCAGTAAATAACAGTTCAAAAACCCTCGAAAATGGCAAAAGGTATGGTAAGAATGTAGCAGTTTAAATATACATACAATGTAGAAATCTTCCCGAAGTGAGTTAGTTTTAATATAAAAAATATTCTCAATTTTTACCCACTACACACTACCTCAAATTAATGAGGAAAAATTGTTGCTGTTGTCACACCCCCGCCGGGAATCGAACCCGAGCTCTCTGGCTTTACGTGCCAATGCTCTACCACTAAGCTACTAGTGGTCAGAGCATTGGCGCGTAAAGCCAAAGAGCCCGGGTTCGATTCCCGGCGGGGGTGTGACAACAGCAACAATTTTTCCTCATTAATTTGAAGTAGTGTGTAGTGGGTAAAAATTGACAATATTTCATATTAAAATGTAGCAGTTGTTGAAGGATTAAAATATGCCAAGTTAGAAAATTTAATATTTTTAGTGACTAGAATAATTAGTGACAGTCGAATACACCAAACCTCATCAAAGTAGATTTGTCCTTGTTTATTTTTCTATCCTATTCTAATCACTTATGGCGCTTCATTTGAAATTTACCCTGTTGCTACCGTGGCGCCACCCTAATTTAAAGCAGTTTGACGGACACTAATTCACTACAGAGATAGTGCTCCTTATCTCCAGCCTCCATACACTGGGACTGTTGAATGAGAGAGGAGGTCTTCGGCTTAATATAATATTATAAAAATATTAACTAATTGGTTAACTGATCAAAATTAATCAAAAAGAATGGTAATAATAACTATTATTATGTTAGTCACATATTATTAATAAGTAATTTATTTCACACTACGTTATATAAAACACAAACGCATGTATTTACGAATTATTCGTGGAATTTATCCCATAACCATCACCATTTAACGATAAATCTGCCGTAGAAGGCATAAAAAATTTAACCACCATACCAAGAAACATGGGTTGAGTCAATCTAAGATAGCAAACTACTTAAGATACTCAAGAATAATATGCAAAAGTTGAATAGGATAAATTAAAAATATATTACAAAAACAAGTAATATTAAAGTAACAAAAAAGCAATAATTTACTGTATTGTTAGATAATAAATAAACAAATGACAATGAACAATAATTGCCACAAGGTTTTATTCGATAATAATTGCTCTCTTTGTAATTAATCACATCTGGTTGACGATTTTTATTTTCGACCTTAATAATTACATACTTAAGCAATTGTTCTATAATTTAAGAATAAATTCGCGTATTAATGTACAGGGTGTTTTATTATGAATAAGAAGAGATCTATACAATGCTTATCTTTAAACGTAAAATTTAAAAACCATTTTGTATTTTACATACCTTACGAACACTTCTGTTAGGAGTAGAATTATACCATAGGCCATAAATTCGAGTCCAAAAACTCTTATTAAAGCCCTTCTCAAGGAAGGTGTTCTCTTTGCGATTTTTGATTTTTCTACTTCTTTATTCCATGCATTTTCTAATTTATCACCAATTGTACTTGACTTGTGTTCAGAGAAAGTTTCGTATAAATCAGTTACTTCTAATTCACGTTTATATCCATCCATAAACGTTGGGATTGTATACCTATTGTTTTAAAGAGAAAAGTATACATTTTTATTGATCCAAATTGTTTTGAAAAATTAATTAATTTTTAATTTAAGTCTAGGCAGAGCTGAGATGCAGGGGTGCATCTGATATATTATTAAGGAGCTCATTGAGCCTAAAGGGCGCCCATAAAGGTAAAAATTTTTAAAAATAAAACAATTTAATTTAAATAAAAAATTTACGTAACATCATATTTATACTCTCGACGACCTTGTACTTAAGATTTGAGTTCTATATGAAGCATAAATACAAAAAAAGCGGAATACCTATTTATATTTCCTAAATATAATTAACATTACCTACAGTTATAAGGATGTTACTAAATGGATCGAAAAATCAGGATCGTAGTCTGCAACATATTTCACAATAGCATTGCAACTTAATGTGCATGTAAATTCGTGGGGGTAGCGGTGGGTGTATATATATATATATGTATGGATTTATGCGTATGTGTATTCTCAAAAACACAATCAGATAAAACTCAAAACAACAATTGGCTGAAGAGGACCTTAATTGATCCTATAACGGCCTGAGGTAAAGGGGTAGGTCCGAGGACATCTTCCTCGGGAATCCGACACTACCCAGTCGTACGGACGGCTGGGTGTCTTTTGAAGATTTCCCTTCTTCCACGAAAACAAAAAACAAAACAAGGCGTATGTGTTTGTATGGGTGCAGAGGCGGATTAAATGTCGACAGCGCCTTACGCCAGCACCTCGTAAACGTCCCTCTGGCAGCGATATATTTTACAAACTAATTTTTGGCAGCAGGTATTTTCAGGTCAGGTATAAAATTTGTTTATTTTCTTCAGGGGTTTTTGGACCATTTTGAACTAAAACGATCTGCTGTAACTTTTCTTTAAAGTTGATAGTTTTCAAGATACAGTGAAATTCGTTTATTATTACTCCGCTTAATTGACCAACCGCTTAATATGAAGTAATTGCAGTATTAAGTTTGGTTTTCATATTAAATTTTTATAGGAAACTTTGGATATAATGACTCCGTTTAAAATGACATATCGTTTATTATGACTGATTCTCAAGAAATCATATCCGGCTATAGTGACCCAAATGATTAATAATAACATTTTCACTCATTTTTCTTACCCTTCTTATGTATATTGATATTACAATTCATCGTTCTTTTTCTTTTTCTCTTAATAAATATACACAATTTGCAGTTTTTCTATCTTTTAAACTAAATAACTAACCAAAATAGAAAGTTGTTTATTTGTCATTTCCCTTCGATGTCATTATAAGCGGATTCTACTGTATGCTTTAAATTCAAGAGACTTTTATATTTGACGCCGCTGTAGCAAAATTGTCGCAATAAATGAAATACATTGTAGTTTTATTTAAAAATGCTATTGTACACTTATAGGTAAATAGTTGNGATTATGCTATTGTAATTCCTGTTTTTTAATTGTTAATTAAGCTTTTTTATTCTGATGATTTTATTATAACTAAATGACGATGTACAAGGCATTTTAACTATTGTTAACTATACAAATAAAAATTAATATGAAAAAATTCTAATGTTAGCCGCAAATATCATAAAGTAGAAATTTTTCGAATTTTCTCTAATTTCAACATAATTGGTGACATTTGCGATGTTCAAGTTCAGGAAATTTGACTGTATTTTACATTTTTTGTTGCAAACAGATCTCACACCTCTATATATGTAGTGTAGAATTTATTTGGTCCATCAGAAGATTGTAACTTTACAACTTGCATATCCATTCAAAATTTTTATTACAACGCTAAAAATTGTATATTTCCATTTACATATACGTGTTTAAGTTTAAAAATTAGAAATTTGAAACAAATAAGTTTCTTTTTGCGTTGTAAATATTTTTTTAACTGAATTCCTCATTTGATAAAGCAGACAATCAGAATATTTAAACAATTTCAAAAAATTCCCCTAACATTTTTGAAAATTCTAACTTATCGTTAATCAAGTCTTTTTGCAGTTCCATAATTACTATGAATAATAGCCTTTTTAACGATTAAATTTTTTTCCAAATTCGATAAAGTGTAGCTGACCCCTTTTTGTTGCAAAACCGTCATATCGAATTAATATATATTCCTAAAATTCAAGGTTAGATAAGAAACATATGTACACAATAATGCACGCTGAATTCTAGTTACACGAATCAATAAATGTTGGTACTTTGGGAGGTGTTTAAACGTGCTACTGTATAATTGCAGAAAGTACAGACGCATTTTAATTCATTGATAAATTATTATAAAATTATGTCGTGAAGCAATAGGAAATTTACTTCGGGCAGACATACAAAACAATTCCTGTTTTGTATTTTCTTTTTGCTTGAGTGGACATTTATCGATAAAAATATATAAATATTCACCTTCTATTTTATCTACTGCTGTTATTTGTTTTTACTTCTGGAAAGAGTAATAAACTAAGTACGTCTTGAAAAAAACATGTTTTGTTGGTCAGAACTTTGCTTATGTTTCCTTAAAAACGCATCGTTTAGGTCTATTATTACTATAATTACACTTTTTTAGCAATGATATTTTACGAAATTGTTCATTTTTTGGTAATATACATTTTCGATGGCGCAGCAATAAAATAGAACAAGGAACACTACAATGTTTTCATAAAATAATTTTTTGCCACGTCAATATTATTTCGACTGATACATCGACAATTTATGAATTCATACTTAATTAATTGCGAGGGCGTTATTACTTATTCAATTGGAAGCCACTGCAGGCTTACTACAACCTACATAACTATCGATTTTATTCATATCTCAGAAACGATTATTTTTTCACAGAAATGTCGTTGGCGGATGGATATTGTATACAGTATAAGCCCAAACTCCCAAACGCCTAATTAACCCTACATTATACAATAAATTTTTACCTTACCCCTATCGAAAGTACGACATTTTTCCTTAATTTCAGGGACGAAACCGTAACATAAGAAATCGCATTCTCTCCTTCGGTACGGAAAATAGTAAATCAGGAAGAATCATATTAGATTCTTTCGGACAGAGGTGTCGTAAAAAATTAAATACGAGCAGGACTGGATTTTTCTTTGGTGTCGCTCTGTGCACCGTAAAAAATACCGCCCCATTACCGATATTCTACACACTATATTATAAACATTAATTAACAAATTTTATACATTTTAACAAATTGGGTCGTATTTTTGGTTTGTATTTTCATCAAATAAAGGTCGAAACCATTTAATACTATTAATTTGATAAACTGAAAAAGCAGGCAAGAGCGTGAACTCAAAAATCGAAATATGAATTAAAAAAATTAATCTTAACTTATTAATTAATAATTCTGTAGAAAAACACAAGAACGCAAAAGGGAAATAATTAAACAAATTAAAAAGAGAACGAGAACTAAGAGCGTTATCGACTAAAAGGAGGTATTTTAAAGGGTTACTTAGAGACATGTTAGAAACAGGAAGAGGAATGAAAAGGGACATAGATACAGATTAGATTACTGTTGACAAATAGTTAGAGATGTAGGATGTTCTAATTTAGGAAAATGCGAAGTTTAAATCAGGATAGAAAAGCAAATAACATGCATGTTCTGAGTGAAGTCTTTGGAGTGACGACCCTATGATGATAAATTATTATTAAAAAAAAAAACATATGTATAAATGTGCCTGTTATCAAAACATTTCGTCACATATCCTACAGAGATTGGCCTACAATACGCTGGGTTATTGAGGAGTTAATTCGCTCGCGAAGGAGGAAGGCAGGACTCCAAAAAAGAAACGTATAAGAGTAGGTATAGGGACTGTACGGAAATTTCCAAAAATGTTTATTTTATTTCCTAACAAAGAAGATAAAAAGACTACAAAATCATTCGATAGATCTTCAAAAATCCAAAATTTTACATTCAAGCTTTTCGAAGAACATATTTTTTACTCTTTTATCGTGGCGGCCAATCGTAACAAAAGGAATTATTGAGACGTGTGTTTATTAATTATTTTATTTTATTATGAACTAGCTTTTCCCCGCGGCTTCGCTCGCATAAATTAATACTGTTTCTCCATAAAACCATTTACCTCCCAATTCACCCTACAAAGTTTTAATTTTATGTAATGTCGCCATCTTAGATTTCAAAAACAAACGTAGCAACAGCATTTCATCAGTTGATTTTTAAAAATTTGCCAAGACATATATTTGCGTAATTTCAACCTTCGAGTAAATCCGACTACAAATAAAATATACCCGATGGAAACGTGGCAACCTCTTTTCATTTAATTATTTATATCAATGAGTATAAATATCAAGTTTAAAGTAAATTCAACCACAAATAAAACACGTCTCAAACAAACATTCTAACCTCTTTGGAGGTTCAATTGTTTAAAATGCCGAGATAGGTGTTTCAGAAATTAAATGAGAGTATTAAAACCAAGTTTCAAGTAAATTAGACCACAAATAATGTATGTCTCTTTCAAACATTGCAACTCCTTTTCAACACCCCTCTACCCCAACAGAGGTTGATTTTTTTAACCAAGTTTCAATTAAATCTGGCCAAATGTTCCATGCAATCTTTGCAAACCCCTTTCAGCTTCCTGCAGAGATTGAATTTTTTAAAATGTTTAAACTTCAAATGAAATTTCATTTTTAAAAGTATTCCGGGAAAGTTGTTATTTTTCCTTTCATTCTTCTTCATTTTCTTTTTAATAAATATTTTGTAAAACTAACTGGAACTTGATAAATCACACATTAATTAACATATTAATACAATCGTTAAAAATTAATTATAATCCATAACTAATTTAAGCACCATGTACTTTATGTTTCTTCTAAAATAACTCCGTAGTCAAGTAAATCTGACTATAAATAAAATATCTAGCATATAAACGTTAGAAGCCCTTTTCACCCCTTTCCGAGATCAAGTTTTTGAAAATACTAAAATAGGTGTTTGATTTTATGCCAATGAGCGTATATATCAACTTTCATGTAAATCTGACCAAAAACAAAAGTGTCAAAATTTATAACATGAAGGTAAGGTTTTTTCATATAAAAATACTATCCAAATGTCCGGATTTTCCCGTGTATTTCCCAAAAAATTTCTTTCACACAAACCTTGCACTGTCAATTACGAATACAACTAAAAATAAATCAATCAAATCGGTTGAGCCGTGCTCAAGTGATGCTCCGTCATACACTTGGCAATTCCCTAGAATTGACAGCTAGGAACAGTTTGAATTTGGTTTTTACGTTTTTCTGGGCAATTTTTCCAATTTTTCTCTACATAAGAACCTTCCTCGGACTTCAAGGAATATCTTAAAAACAAATTATCGAAATTGGTCCAGTCNAAACGCCAATTTTATTTGCTTATGCCTAAAATTAATTATCAGAACTCGTTTAGGCGATAGTTACTTAGTAAATAATCTTTTGCTTGGGAAGAAAAGCAATATGTGTAAAAGTGATTTTTTTACGATAATTACGTTGAAGAAATTTACAAATTAACATCTGGTTCTTGCGACAATTGTTATATTGGCCAAACAGGAAGGTCATTCAAATCTAGAATTAACCAACATTTCAAAATCATTAAAAAAAATTGTGTAATTACGCCAATCGCCTAATTTTAGAAAATTATAAATTTTATTTAGACTGTAAAATTTTACACACTTTGAATAAAAGAACAACTTTAAATACTTTAGAAACTTTGGAAATAAACAAAATCATAATCAAAAATGTAGACCTATTGTTAAATGATCAGATAAAGTTAAGTACTTCAATACTGTTAAATTTATTCTAATGTAACTCCACTTATAGTTAAGATATACATAAGTATATAAGGTACAATTATAGTATATTGGTTAGTGTAACACTCTATTTGAAAAAGCTATTGTGTAGCGAAACAATTGTGGTGGGTTATAAATACATATATGTATTGTGATAATTTACGCATTGAAGATTTATTTATACATAAAATTATGGATTTTCGCCAAGTAAATGCCGATTCCATCATGTATTGGAATACGGAGTTATTTTAGAAGAAACATAAAGTACATGTAGTTTGAATTAGTTATGGATTATAATCAATTAGTTAACGGTTGTATTAATATGCTAATTAATAGGTGATTTATCAAGTTCCAACTAGTTTTACAAAATATTTATTAAAAAGAAAATGAAGAGAGAATGTTACATCCACTTAATGAAAGGAAAAATAGTAACTTTCCCGGAATACTTTTAAAAATTAAATTTCATTTGAAGTTTAAATTGGAAATAAACCCAGACTGCTGCATAACATGAAACCGCGAGTTTAATTATGGATTTTCCAAAACGGTACCTGAAACACGAACATCTGACCTCCACTTTAATTACAACATTACCTATAATAAGCATTGCTTGTGCTAATTTTAATACATCATTCCATACAGACCCTGTATTTAAAAAAATTAATTTCATATATACTTAATGTTTGAAATAATTCTACAAATATTTTGAAATTAATATTAAATTATCATGGAAATACAGCAGTAATTAATAAAACAGTAAACCACTGTTAATTATTTTAAGTTCAAGTTCATTATCAGCCACTGACACGAGAGATACTTGTATGTAAATTGTAACATATTATGACTATAGTGTTATAATATATTAATGTATTTGTGTATATCTACAATGTAATTAAATGTATTGTAACTATGTCTGTTAACTCGATTATAACTAGGGAATTCAATCCTGGCCCTTATTTCTAATCCTGGCATTTCGTGGTTATAGTTATTTTATCCAATCCCAGGATCTCAGGATTTTTTTGGTTTTGAAGGTCACAAATAAAAAATAAGGAAATCTTACAAAAATCTTCCATCAACAAATTGAGACTGAAAAGTGGTTAGGATTCTGATTTACAGAATCCCGACCAAATCCACTAGTTATAACGTACTCGAAGGGAACATAAAAATCGGTCTTATATAATATCCATAAATTTAAGTCGCTAGTGCAAAGTTAACACACCCAAATTATTCATACTACTACTGGGTTAGTAGGTCAATTAGCAGTCGTTTAAACAGCGGAATCAATAGCCAAAGAAAAGTTAGTTCGAAAAATCGAAAGATGAGATCATAGAATCACGACAAACGAGTATGGCAAGGTAGTGAGGCGGTCGTGTTTTGAAAACAAAAATGGACTAAAATCATAAAAATGCAAATAAAATAATTAAAAGGTCGTCTAACATCAAATCATGAGAATGTGGAATACTTATAAATATTGAGAAATGATGTACGATATGTAACAATTAAGTTCCGATAATATAGTTGTAACTTCCCATCTAACAATACGGAGAGTTCGTACTCGCGATGTTGCGACTTTCGGAATCTTCCCTTAGCATCAATAGGAGGATAAAGTCAGTAGATCGTTTCGTTAATAATTACTTACAATAACTAAGTTATGAATTTACTATGTTGTGTTGTTGAGCGCATTGCAACACTCAAAAACAAATTATGGAAAGCAACGTAAACTGCACCTTTACCATAAAAATAAATAAAACAATCAATACAATACAATCTTGCTTGGCTACATATTAAAATATGTCACAAACATAATTCGCATAATTCTAACTATATGTAAACATGTTTTTACCTTAGCTTTGAAATATATCGTTCTTTGGATCATTTTAAGCAAATAGTTTCTGAATATGAAGAGGGATGTAAGCCAATACATCTAATTTTTCGTTTATCTTTAAGAAGTCAAATTTGTTTTAATTTAAAACATTTTAAAAAGAATAACAATATTATAAGGTATTGAGAGCACTACGATTTACTAGTATAGCAAATATTGAAATACTATTCTAAAAAGAATATTTAAAAATAGACTTACATAAAAGTTGCTGCTGATATGGGATTACAATTTTCTCGAGGATTTGGTGGTTTTTTGTGCTTAAGTCCAGCATCCATTCTCTACAAATTTCGATCTGAAATAAAGTATACATGTTCTGAAAACGCCAATTTTATTTGCTTATGCCTAAAATTAATTATCAGAACTCGTTTAGGCGATAGTTACTTAGTAAATAATCTTTTGCTTGGGAAGAAAAAGAATATGTGTAAAAGTGATTTTTTTACGATAATTACGTTGAAAAATGTGGTTTGTTTCAAAAGAATTGTATGATATACATAGGAATGTTTGTAATCGCTCAACCGAAGGTTATCCACAGGGATTCAATAACGTGAAATAAAAGAGCACGAGTATTAAAAATGATCAGGAAATTCTTGTTGAAACAAGAGAGTCTAGATCTACAATATCAAAATCAATTTTTTATTTATTCATTGCACATAACGAGAACACAAGAACCTCCAAGTCAAAAACAACAATTAATAATAAACATGCTAAAAACGTGATGAATTATATTCAAGGAAAATGATATGCAAAAAATACCTACTCCATTAATTTTTTTATAAAAAGGAACTACTTGCCTACCAGTAGCAATGAACATAGTTATTGAACTAAACGTTTTAACAAATTTTCAAATTTAATTTTTTGATATTTAATCAGCTTAGAGCTAGTTTTCTTTGTGAAGCACTATTTAAATGGATAAATAGAACAGCAGAACTGTTTTTAAAGTTTATTATAATGTAGTATTTACTGTACAATTGTTTCGTCCTATTAAACCTATGTCAAAAGTATTAATTAGTACCTACTTTACTGATACTCTTGGTCAATAGCTCAATAGAATTAGACAAAAAAGATCGAAAACTTAATAAAGTTCGTAACAGAGATTTCTTTTAAAGTTCCTCGCTAAAATTTATCATTTTTCAAAATTTAAAAAGGAAAATTTACCTAAATATTAAAGTGGTATTTAACAAGCGCGTTGCTTCATAAGAAAAAATAATAAAAATTACAATTTTAACCCAAATTTGTAAAAATGAAATCCCAGCAGAAATAAATTTACTAGGTATTTAAGTTAATATTACAAATTTACAATCGAAAATTGTAATTTTTGCGTTGTCATAAAAATTTAGTTTTCTCCGTGTTGCATATTCATCAGTCTTGATTTTAGTCTTGGTCTTGTTCGTTCGGTCTTGGTCTTACTAGTCAAAATACAGTCTTGGTCTTGGTATTGGTGTTGGTCTTGCCTTTTCGCAATATAATTTAGATGTAAGTACAAAAACCTGTACTTAGTTGTAAAGAAATTCAAACTACCTCAAAAAAAAATATTTTTATGAATTTTCCACCTCTAATCGTTATTTAGGTAATCCCTACCCTTCCAATTTTTTTAGTATTTTGAAAATTTTATATCATACCACTTTGTA